TTTGACAGAGGAAACATAAATATTCCAAAAATCTTTATTCCTTATTTGACAAGGATAAGAGAAATGGAAATATTCCGTAAAATAATACGACTCAATTAATAAAGATTTATCGATATTATACAAATTTATAAATGGAATATTGACAATTTTATTAAATCAGTCAATAAAGATTTATTCCAAAAAAGAAATTCTTTTATGGTTTTGCATAATAGCCATCATACTTCCAATATATAATAAATGCACATCTTGACTTTTAGTCTTGATTACATATCTATTTTGACCATTTATTTCTTATTCAAATTAACTTCGATTTTGACAAGTAATTACACTGTCTATTAGTGCTCATTACAAAGATTTCAAAGAATCCATAATTGCCAAAATTTAAGTTCCAACAGAAGCTACAACTTGGAAATCTCATATTTGGCATGACTCAAAGTCGTTTAACAAAACAACGAAACCAAATTATTATCAGAGAAGCATTTTACATTAAAATGCTTGAAGATGATAAAGCACAAGATGAAAGTATTGACTTTGGGGAATAATTTATGGGTATAGAGGGGCAAAAATGAACTTAGATTCATAATGCGGTCGAAGATATATATAACTTTATCCATTACGACCAATAATGCTATCACATAATTCAATTATGTGAAAAGCTAAAAGGGAATTATTATTTGAAGAAAACTGATAATGTAAGCATCCACGAAAAGGACACAATTTTCCTAAACACATGTGCTCACAATTTTAATTAGAAATATGTTAGAAAAATTATTTGGTCATTCACAAGAAATCATAGGCAGAAAATTTCATGAAATATTCAATGCTTTGGAGAGAATGATGGTTGATTTGCTTAGACCTGGTCTAGATGAACTTACAGAACCTCATCCAAGGCTAGTATTAGACAACAGATATGAGTGTTACTTTAAAGAGTTTACTAGGATCTAACATGCACGTCGACGCGTAAGTAATTTTTTAAAAAATTGTTTTTTGAAAATATTAGTTTTGTAAATACAATTTTAAATTGTGGTTTTATTCTTCTACAATATTTTACTTAAAATAGTTAATTTTCAAATAATACTAAGATATTATAAAATATGTGTAGAAAAAATATATTCATTCTTACGTAAATACATACTTGATACAATTCTATAAATTAAGCAACACTCTTACATATTAAACATGTGTTTACGTTTGCGCTGAGTATATATTTGTAAGATTAAAATTTATGTTTTAAATATTATTTTTGGATTTTAACTATTAGAGTTTAAAGTTTGAATGGTTAATTATATATTTTTGTTAATTGTAATCATGTTTTTTAGTCAAAAAATATATATTAAAAGTGTGTTTAATTTTTAATAAGAAGATAATATATTAATATTTTTTCTTTGTCTTTATTTTCTTCAATATTATTATTTTTTGTTGTTCTTCTTATTTTTTCTAAGTTTTTATTATTGTTCTTCTTCTTTTTCTCTTCTTCATCTTCTTCTTATTTTTCTCCATTTTTCTTTTAAGCTTTTCTTCTATATTATTCTTCTCTTTTCTTCCTCTTTTCTTATTTTTATTGATTTTCTTCTTTATTTTTTTTTCTTTTTTCCCATTTATCTTCTCTCTAACAGGAAGAAATCGATCAGGATATATGATTTTAATTTTCTGGGTATATAAATAGTAGTTGAGGAAATCCAGTCGTAGAAAAAAGAAACATAATAGATATTAACATACATCCATGACCTAACTTATTTTAGGTTCCTTGGGAAAAATAAAATTTAGACCCTAAAAATATTATTTTTTTAATTTTTTGGTATTTTCTATATAATTTTTTGATAAATTTCGAAAAAAAAATAAAAAATAAGGTAGTTCTAAATCTTTAAATAAAAATGGGCCTTTTAATAAGAAAGAAAACAAAATATTGGGCGCTTAATTAGAAAAATAACCAAAAGTTAGGCCCTTAATGATTTAATGAAATGAATAGATTTAATAAACTTTGATATATCTAATAAAAGTTTAATGGCACATTAGGTAAATAACACAGTAACTAAATGTTATTCTTCTAAATAAAATTCTCTTTTAATATAATAGATTAGTGTAATTGAGGGAACACATATTCCTGTCACTATTGCTGGAAAAAATACAGAAAAATACTAGAACAGGAAAAGTAACACTAGCATAGAATATCCTGACTATATGCAATATAGACATGTTGTTTACATATGTATATATTGGTATTCCGGATCAGTTCATGATGCAAAAGTTTTAGCATTAGTGATGGAGGGGCTTCATCAATTTCTAACTCCATCTTTTGGAAAATATTATTTGGGAGATTCCGGTTATTCTCTTCTACCTGGATTCCTTATTCTATACCGAGATGAAATATATCATCCTAGTGAATATAATAGAGCTACACCGCTTAATAGCTCTAAAAAAATGTTTAACAAATGCCATTCTTCGTTACAATCTATCATTAAACTGATTTTTGGTATGTGGAAGAGAAAATGGAAGACTTTAAGAGAAAAACCAAAATTTGGCATACATATTCAATTTAAAGTTATTACAGTGACAATAGCTTTACACAATTTTATTAGATTATCAAACTGTGAAATATCGATTTTGATTCAAATAATCGTCAAGCAAGTCAAGCGAGTGATGTAATTCAGACGAAGATGAAGAAGGCAATAACCCTACGATGCAATATAAGGAAGCAATCCGAAATCAAATTTCTACATTTTTATGGGATGATCGATCATTGTAGTTTATTTTTACTGTTTTTTTTTAAAAAGACAAATAAAATCAGATACTTTTTTTTTTGATTTTTTGTAATAGATTACATTTATGTGCATTTTAACTCATAAACTTTTAGTATTATTTATTATTTTTAAGAAAATATTTTCGTATTAATTAAATATATTTTATTTTACCAGCATTTACCTTAATTTTTAATAATAAATTTAAATTAAAACAAAAAACAAAAATATACTTAAACACCAAAAACTAAATAAATCACTATTTAAGTTTTTAGAAAAAAAAAACAAAAATCAACAACAAAATCCAAAATCCAAAAATCAAAAATTAAAAACAAAAATCAAAAACCCAAAAAGTAAAAACCAAAATCTAAAAACTCCTTTTATCACAAGCTCACTGGCCAATGCTGATCAAGTTTATGGGGCTTCATTTGTTAAATTTCCTCTTCTTTGTTTCTCAGTTATAATAAGAATTGGCGAAGAGGAAAGGTGGAAAAACTGAAAAGTGCAATCCCTAGATTCGTTATTCAGATTCCACTCTCAATTGGAGACGTCGAAACTCGGTGATCTTCCAAAGGATTTGATAGAGAACGAGATTCTGAGTTACGTTCCGGCTAGGGATCTGAAAGGATTGGGAACTATCTGTAAACGATGGAACCGTTTGGGAGATTCGCAAGAAAGCACACTGAGAACGCGGCAAAGCAGATCTTGACTTCGAATTACAGTAACGCTGAGTCAGCAGCCAATCATTCAAGTAAATAAGAACGAAATGTGAAATTTTCGATGGTTGCTAAGTGTTCACAACTAATTAAGGAAATTAGTGTTTTGAGATGGGAACTTCAGGAAACGAGCCTAGTGTTGCTCATTAACCAGTATTGATAGTAAATATCAAACTATTGGTCCTTGTGAAACTTCTGAGACAGCCTGACTGTGTCATACTCATACCAATGGTAGAATCAGATCCTATCCTATGTTGCATGTTATGCTTTTTTCCAGTCATTAAGCTAGAAACATTAGAAACTGATGTGTCCCCATATCTTAAAATCCATTGCTTAAGTTGTGAGATTGAATATACAGGTTGCAGCAGGCGGCATTTTAGGATGTACATGTGTGGTAGCGTATTTGATGAGGAGCACAAGCTAGTTTCAACACAAGAACGAATCCAACATTCTTTTGAAATCATAGATTCATCAGCAATGAGAAGCTGAGGAGGGTTAGATTATTGTAGTAAATGGAACATTGTTAAATCTGTGTAATATATATATATACATATATATATATCATAATAGTAGTTAGCCTTTGTCTTTAAGTTGCACTTGACTTGTCTTCATTGTTTAAGCTATTCCTTCTCAACATTCTCTCTTTATATATAATCTCTATTTTCTGTTGCTAATTATTTCCGAGAGAAAGCCCTAAACTTCTCTGTCATCACACTGTTCTGTGTTTTAAAATATCTTTACCTGTATAATAATAGAAAATATCAACGGAACCGATTCGAAAATCTGTATTTTGATTTCGTTTTTTTTTAAATGACTGGCGTAGCAATGTGGAATCAGATTCAAATTCTGTGTTTCACGTTCTGCTTTTGCCTTTAGTGTCTATATATTGATTTAAACTCTTTTTTGGGGTGTCCAATAAACGTAAGCATGTAAGGTATCTCTCTGTCTGGTTGTTAAAAAGTTGACATGATGTCATATTTGGATAACATTTTGTAGGGTTATGCTTCTATCTCAGGACCACAACGCTTAGGTTCACACTAGTCATCATTGTCTTGTTTTGAAAGCTACAACTTAGAAATCTCATATTTGGCATGAATCAAAGTCGTTTAACAAGACAACGAAACCAAATTATTCTCAAGATCAGGACATAAATTAAAGACTATTCATAAGCTATAGTTTCGGAAGTTTCGGTGACCAATTTTGAAACATTGAAAGCTGAGTAGGTCCCACAATACTTGCATAGAAATACACGTGCATGTGTGTGTCTGTGTATACGTGTACACATATTTGTACGTGTAGATGTGTGTAAGTTACAGAGTGTAATTAACGTCGTAAAGTATTGTTCCCATACCGAAAGTGAGGAAAACTGTGGAAGCAAGAATATATTCTCACTCGGAAGAAGATATGAATTAAAGTTTCAAATATTCCAACAGAAGCTAGAAAAGAAATCGTTTTTTTAATAATCTAATCCTCTGTTTCAAGATTACAAAACCTCTTAAGAGAACCATCACCGGGAAAATTTGTGAAACAAGGCAGACAAGAGAAAATGGGATGTTTCGGACCATCAAAAACTTCAAGAACAAGAAACCAAGAACGAGACACGACTCGACAACACCCACCTCCACCTCCCCAACCTCAACACCGAACCGTGAGAGCCGAAGAGGTTCTGTTACGGATTCCGAGATGCAGAGTCCATCTCATCGACGAATCCGAGGCCGTGGAGCTCGCTTCCGGTGATTTCAACCTCGTTAAAGTCACAGACAACGGCGTGACTCTCGCGTTGACCGTCAGAATCGGGCATGACCTTCAGTGGCCGGTGATTAGAGACGAGCCCGTGGTGAAACTCGACGCACGTGACTACCTCTTCACGCTTCCGGTTAAAGACGGAGATCCACTCAGCTATGGGGTCACTTTTTCAGGAGACGACAGAGACGTAGCCCTTGTGAATAGCCTGAAGTTGCTCGACGAGTTCTTAAAGGAGAACTCTTGTTTCTCGTATTCGGGTTCGAGTAAGGTTAACAATGGAATTGACTGGAAAGAGTTTGCGCCGAGGATTGAAGATTACAACAACGTTGTTGCTAAGGCTATTGCTGGAGGAACAGGACATATAATTAGAGGAATCTTCAGTTGTAGTAATGCTTACACCAACCAGGTTTCATGCAAAACTTAAATTTAATTTTGTTGATCATTCTTCTTTTTGTTATTAGTTAAGTTGGTTAAATAATATTGACAAAAAAACTATTTTATATAGAAAGAGGAAACTAATGTTCGTATTAGAACATTATGTTGTATGAATCCAAATGGTCTTAATTAATTATATTATATGAAAGCATGGAGAAATTCTCTTGATGTTAATGAGAGATTATATACATATGATATGACTATGAGATTTATGATTGAAAAGGTTCACAAGGGAGGTGAAATAATGATTACAAAGGCTGAGGAGAAGAGTGGTGCGTCCCGGAGAAATGGAGGTTACAACAGTGGAAACTCCAATAGTAATGAGAAGAAAAATGGAATCAACACAAACCTTCAACGGTATGAACCATTAGCTTCTGCGTTTGCGCTTCCGTTTACATGAGGAAAACAAAAAAAAATTGTGGGGTACTATTTTCGATTACATATGACATTACACTTACAAATAACACATCACAAATGTTTGTTTAAAGTTATGTGGAATCATTTGGAAAAACAAAATACACACGGAATGTAAATATAAACGTAAATACACAAAAAAATCGAGACATAAATATTCAGTTCTTGATTTTTTGTATATTGTGGCTGCTTTGTTGGATCGATGTATACATAGAGTGAGGAAGCTATCACAGGCGACTGAGAAGTTGAGCAAGACGATGTTGAATGGTGCTGGAGTTGTGAGTGGCTCCGTGATGGTTCCTGTGATGAAGTCGAAACCGGGGATGGCCTTCTTCTCCATGGTTCCAGGGGAGGTCCTCTTGGCCTCACTTGATGCCCTTAGTATGTTACAAAGAGTAGCTATAAATGAATCAATATGTATTTTTGGGGGTCAAAACCCAAACAAATAGAAGTTATGGGGCGAAAACTTAATTAACAAGGTGTAATGTTTGGTTTGATCCAATAGATAAAATACTAGATGCAGCTGAAGCCGCGGAGAGACAAACTCTATCTGCTACATCCAGGGCTGCTACTAGAATGGTCAGCGAGAGGTAAACAATTTCACCTTATAATTCTCTAAATTTCAGATTCATTCATCTATAACATGTGACGTGTTCATGATATATGTCCCTAGTGATCATACACATTAAGAGTTTAAGGTGATATAATAAACTGACAAGGACATGTTTGGCAAAGCAGATTTGGAGAGAACGCAGGAGAGGCGACCGGAGACGTATTAGCAACCGCGGGGCACGCGGCTGGAACAGCATGGAATGTTCTCAAGATCCGCAAGACTTTCTATCCTTCATCTTCTCTAACATCAGGAATCGTCAAAAATGCTCCAAGAAAATGATCATAATGGGTTGTATTTTCAGTTGCTTTTATCAACTTATGATCTATGCAAAACCAAAACCAAAATCAAGCTCAGTTTCATATTTCTCTACATAGCGCACGAGAAAGACTCATCATCTATGTATATTTTATTATGTACTGACTGATATATATTAAGTTATGCATTATAAGAATGATATTAATGGATACATATATTACGTAGAACATCAAGTTTTCTTATATAAATTAGAAAAACAATCATCATAGATTATAAATAACATGAATGAAGTTCATATTGGTCAAACCAATTTAATTATATTTGACGCCCTCTTTCCAATTACAAATCATATATTTTAAATAATATAAAATGATATGAAAACTTTTATAAGGAGGGGCTATGTCAATGTAGGTATCTATCAAATTGTCAGGAAGAGAGACAAACTTCAAGATAAATTTTATACTAGGCTACTAGAACATATTGAATAAATCCTACTAGAACAAATTACTAATTCTCCATTATCAAACTATAAGCTCGAATTTTATAGTCTTACTTTTTGGCTATTAATATGATCTAATGTTAAGGGTTAAGCTCATCACCTTCAATCTTCTAATATTTTTTTCCAAATCACACTTGCGTACTATTTTGTACTAAGAACAAGACACGATGTCCTCATCAACCAAACAAAACCCATCTACCCAAAACGTGAAAGAAGAAGTCTTGTTGCGGATTCCCGATTGTAGAGTCCATCTGGTTGATGAATCCAAAACGTTGGAGCTCGCCTACGGGGAGTTCAAGCTTGTAAAGGTCTCAAACAACGGCGTGATCGTCAGAATCGGGCATGATCTTCAATGGCCGGTGGTTACAGACGAGCTGGTGGTGAATGTCAACGCTCATGATTACCTCTTCACGCTTCCGGTTAAAGTCGGTGATCCTCTTATTAGGTACGGAGTCACTTTCTCCGTCGACGAAGGCAGAGACGTTGTGAAAAGCCTTGAGTTTCTAGAAGAGTTCATGAGGGAGAACTCTTGTTTCTCATCTTCGGGTAAGAACAAGAAAGAAATTGATTGGAAATAGTTTGCACCAAAGCCTGAAGAATACAAAAGCGTTGTGGCCAACCAAGGCCATTGCCGGAGGAACAGGGCATATCATCAAAGGAATCTTCACTTGTAGCAATTCTTACTCTAAGAAGGTCTTATATTTGCTCTTTCTCATATACATAAGTCTTATCTATATAAAATACGATTCCAAATAGTTGCAATTGAAAAAGAATACTGAACTTCCAACTAAAAAAAACCAATAAAGTGGAAACACCTAGATAGTTATGACTCGCGTGTAATTATAGTGTTCTGTATATAATATGGTTAAAATTATCTGATAAAAACAGATTCACAAGGGAGGGAGTGAAATAACGATTACAAAAAAGGCTGAGGAAAAGAGTTGTAATGAATCACAAATAAATGAAGATGGGATTACGAAGAAGAATAAAATAATCACAAATCTTCAACGGTATTAACATTTTGTTGCTTTTTTTCTTCTCTAAATCCACAAAACTTATAATATATCTAACAAGAAAATATTGGGTTCTTAATTCTTATCTCCTTATGAACCAAAATCATGTTTCTTTATTCTGTTGGATGTAACATATATATAGAGTGGAGAAGCTATCGAAGACGAGTGAGACAATAGGAGCCATAGTGTTAGACGGTGGAGAAAATGGTTAGCGGTTCCATGATGTCTCCAGTGCTTAAATCAAAGTTAGAAAAAGCGTTGTTATCCACTTCTACAGGAGAAGTTCTCTTGGCTTCACTTGATTCTTTTAGTAAGTTACATAGAATACCTCCATTGATTGCCACTCTCTATTCAATTATATTGCTTTTGAGGGTAAAAATTGTATGGAATCCAATAGATAAAATACTTGGTGCTGCTGAAGCTGCGGAGACACAAACTCATTGTGCCACATCCATGGCTGGTACTAAACTTGTGAGTAAAAGGTAAATTTCACCTTTTGATCCTCAAATTTGAGATTGAGTTATGTATTGATATGTTTTGTGGATTCATTTCTTGAGTTGAATGTAACATGTCTCTATACATTTTAAAGTTTTGGAGAGAATGCCGGAAAAACCACCGGAAAAATACTAGAAACAACAGGTAGCTTGGGCCGAACCGTGTGGAATATTCAAAAAGCGCTTGATCCATCTTTTTCCATCACATCAGAAATTGTCAAAATTGCTCCCAAACAATGATATGTGTTACCTGTAATTTGAAACTGACTTACATTTCAAGAATGATCCACCTTTCTTTGAAACTGAGTTACCTGATATGTGTTACATGTTCTGGTGGGAATGTTAACCAGAACATTCCCAATTTCTTTCTGTTCTGGTTAACCGTTTTCATAATCAAAATGTTCCACCAAATATTTTTGTCTATTTTATTCGGTTTGGGTATGAGCAGACATTTATACAGGTTTGTAAGAATAATTATTCGATTATCTGAAGAGTTTGGATAGTTCTCTAATAATAAAGATGTGTTACAAGCAAACACAGTACAGTCTCTCCACCCAAAGTACAGAATTTCCCGCCAGGCAAAATTTCTAGGGGCACATGTCTGATTCAATCTGAAAATTGAAACACTCATGAATCCCTCGAATCTTGCAATTCCAACGCTCGCTCTCTCCGTAACCCCAATCCTTAAACACCCAATTCGTCAGCTCGAAGGCCGGAAATTTGCAAACCCTAGGCTTCTGTTTCCGCTCCGGCTTAATGAGACTCCGGCCGCGAAAAGGGTTTTCCGGGTTCGAGCAACGGTCGACGGAGATGAAGGAAAAACCGGGAATTGGGTGAACCGGTTACCGATTCCAGGTCTCGGAGCCCAAAATGTCTTCAGGTTGATTTCGAGCGCGACGGGAAGTCCAATCGGACAGTTCATATCGTCCCCTGTGACTTTCCTGCACTCGGTGGATCCAAGGATCAAATTGGTATACTAAATTTTGGTTTTTTTTTGTCAAATTTCTTAATCACCTCTGTGAGATATCAAACGATGCACGATGAGTTTGATATGTGGCCTGTTAGATCAAGATTCAAGCTTTTGCCTTTATTTAATCAGCCCAATTATGCTCCTTGGTTTAAACAGCAAATTTGATTAGATGCTGATGAAGAATTGCGATTGAATCTTGTCATGAAGGGAGCTTGCATTTGGTGCTAGTTGAAACGAAAAAAAAAAACGTTTGCTTTTATTGATTGATTCTTGAGATTGTTGAGGATTTGCTTTTATTAATTGATATTTGAGGTTTTTGATATAATATATATATGTGTGTGTATAAAGCTTGATGCTTCCTTTGGTATTTGCATATGTGCAGGTATGGCTATTAACTCTAGTAGTTCTTCCTGCAAGAGCAAATATAGTTGTGCGTTTGGGACTTGTTGTATGTACAGCGCTTTTGTCAGTCTCTGTTCTCCCAAAACAAGTGTGGATGGTGAGTTATCTCTGTCACAAGTCCTGTTTTCTTCTATATGATTTATCTATCAAAGCTCCATTTCGTTTATGGCTTTTGATCATCGGAATGTTGCAATGAACAGATGTGGTAGATGTTACATGTAACATTGTCATGTGTAGTGCAGTTCTTGAGTTAACATATATACAATGTGTTGCCAACTTCTTGTAATTACAAGTTTCTTCTCTCTGCTTGTCCTGGTTATTGTGTTGTGTGATCTATCTTCTCCGCTGAGTTTCCTAACTTTCGTATGTGTTAAGGATCAATTGGCGAGAGTGTCACTCCTTTCGGGTATCCTCTTCATAACTCTGGGGCTAGGCTCAGATGGTGCACCCGCGATGCTACAATCAAGAACCCCACCATCTTCAGTCACAGGCTTGCCTAATCTCCCCATGTCTTTGAGCGGTTATTCGTACATGCTACTAAAGCTTGGTCCTTTGCAATTCACAAGGAAAGGTTTATCCGTTGGAAGCACAGCCGCGTGCTTAACCTTCATCGTAAGTCGGTTTTTTTCCTACTTCCCTCACGTTCTTCCTCTTTTTGTTTCCAAATGAGGAGGAACGTTTTGGTGGTTTGTTGTTGTCACAGATCTTCCAAAGTGCTAGCATTTGCCTTGCAACCACAACACCGGAGCAGCTTGCGCTTGCTCTGCGTTGGTTCTTGTTCCCGCTGACATATATCGGTGTTCCAGTCGGTGAAATCATCCTCACGCTCTTGCTTTCACTGAGATTCATTAATTTGGTTTTCGATGAGGTGAAGAAAGACTTTTCCCTTCTCTTTCCTATATACATCACCTGGCTCCGCATTGTTTAACCACATAATGGTTTATGTTACATTGTAGGTACGAAGTGTTTCGCTGGGAATTGTATCCCGCAGAGTAGACTGGAAGCAGCTCACTGTTCTGGAGACACTTGATAGTAAGAATCTAAGTGTCTTGATACTGAAACTGGTTTTTCCTTCAGTTCTAATCAAATCAAGAACTCATCCTTTTTTTGTAGTTTTCGCTTCTTTCATACGCCGGATCTTCAAGAATATATTCCGACATGCGGAGCAAATATCGCAGGTCATAATAGATTTCTGTTACCTTTTCCTCATTGATCATCTTTGTCCAAGCTTTTTTCGTCTTTTCTGTGTGGTGATGACTGATGAGAAACTCAAATAGGAACTCTCTGTTAAAAAAGTGTGGGTGTTTACTATTTATGTGCAGGCTATGATTGTAAGAGGCTTCAGAGGAGAGAGCAGTAGCCACAAGATCTACTTCTTCTCTGGCTCATCAAATAAGTTCGCAGATTTTGTATCGGTCTTGTGTTTAGTCGGTGTAATCTCAACCGCACTCTTGTCCGAATACCTTTTTGCCTAATCTTATTAATTGATTTTGATATGTTTCGCGATAATGTTAATCAATAATATTATTTGTTAAATTTCCTATTTGTCTATATAGTATAATAGTAAGAATTAGCAAGACGAAAGGTTAAAACTGAAAAGTGCAACCCCTAGATATTCGTATTCAGGTCCACCTCTCTGGCGCTCTGCAATGGCGATGAGGACATTCAGAGATATTCCAAAGGATTTGGTAGAGGAGGGGATACTGAGTCGCGTTCCGGCTACGTATCTGAAAGGATTGGGATGTACCTGTAAACGATGGAACCGTTTGTTCAACGGTGATGGGAGATTCGCAAGAAAGCACATTAAGAAAGCGGCAAAGCAGTTTCTTGTTCTGATGTTGAGGAAGTTCTACAGGTTTTGTCCGATAATCGTCAATCTTGACGGAACAGTTCCATCTGTAGAGGTAAAAACTGAGTTTAGCCTGGCCGATCCGCTGTCTTCAGCTCAATTTGATGTAAGTGAAGTGTTTCACTGTGACGGCTTCTTGTTATGCACCCTCGAAGACGAATCTAGGTTCGTTGTTTGGAACCAGGTAGTTCCAACCCAGCAAGAGTGTCACGAAAGGCCGCATCTTTGTTCTCGGCTACCACCAAGAAGGCAACAAGAAGAGCTACAAAGTCTTGAGCTTTGATTGTTACCGCAAAGAATATGAAATCTACGATTTCAGCTCTGATTCGTGGAGGGTTCTCGATGGTATCATGGATCCAGGCTGGAGAGTTGGATGCGGCTTGAGCAGGGTGGTGTCTTTGAAGGGAAGTACTTACTGGTTGGCTGAGGATAGAACAAACTCGCAAGCCAATATGTCCTTGGCCAGATTTGATTTTGCAACAGAGAAAGCTGCACCTGTGGTGCCTCTTCCCGATCAGTGTACTGATTCTGGAGCTGCATGTCTTTCCGTTGTCAAAGATGAGAAGATCTCGGTGTTATTAAAAGCGCGATGATACATCCAAGACTGAGATATGGGTGACAAATAAGATCGATGAGACCTCCAAAGAGGTGTCGTGGAGCAAGATCTTGGCATTGGATTTGAGCCCTGATATTCATATTTTTGATGGTGCAGCTTTCTTGCTCGACGAGGAGAAGAAAGTCGTCATGATTTGTGAGGCCTGGTATGAATTCGAAGGCGAGACCAAAACCTGGAGCAAAGACATGATATACATTATTGGGGAGGACAATAAAGTCACAGTAAAGGATTTTGGAATAGATACAACTGAGGGATATGTGCCAGCTATTCTTGATTATGTGCCAAGTTTGGCTCGAATCCAGCGAGCTGGAGGCAAAAGGAAAAGAGACACTGTTAAAGAATTATAGAGAAGAGAGCAGTAGTCACAAGATCTATCTCTTCTCTGGCTCATCAAATAAAGTTCGCAGATTTTGCATCAGTTTTTTTGTTTAATCGCTGTAAATCTCAACCGCACTCTTGTCCTAATACTGATTGCTTCCATCACATTAAACATCTTTATAACACGTTCTTTAATTCTTGAGAGGGAATATATATCGAAAACTCATAAAATGCTAACTAGGGTAACTGATAACGGCAAAGAGGACATGAATTTCTCGTCTTAAGCCAAGCTTGAAGACACATCTCATGATAGAGATGAGAGCAAGGCTTACGAGTTAGCTTCCTCCCCAAGAAACATCTCCTCTTTACAAATCGTACACGAGCACATTTCGTGTCCAAGCACCTTCACAGTCTCTAGCTCCTCGACTCTTCTTCTATCAGCTGGTTTCGGACCTCTACGCCATAATCTCGACCGCCTCTTCAGCTCTCTGCTCCAATTCCGACGCAGCCAGAGCCGCACCGATCCTTCTCAACGCCTCTTTGATGCTTTCCACCCATTGTGGCACCGACTCTAGGTTCTCGTTTCTTTCGACACGAGTCTTGATCAGCTCAGAGATGGTCACATCGATCTTGCAGCGAAACTCGACGTCTCTTCGTTCTTAAATCATCGTATCGCAGTCCACAATCGGTACCAGGAGTTGCTTCGTGACGTAAGCTCTCAGAGGCACAAACCTTCTTCTACAACGAGACCACTTCTTCTTCTTCCTCACACATTCTTTCTCATGTGATCTTAAACCAACCAACGGCGCAATTTCTTGAACCTCACTCGCTAAAACCTCGTGAACCCTCGTCTGATCCGATACGCTCTTGGAGATAAGAAGAGACAAAGGCAGACGAAAACAGTATCTCTCATCTCTGTGTACGAAAGAAAGACTCAGCGTCTTCCCACGCCACTCTTTCTCGCTTCCATAAACAACATCAGTCTTGAGTTCCACCAACAACTCAGCCTCCTCCTGCTTGTGCATTGTCGATTCACAAACTGGCTTCTTCTCCGAGAGGCCAAACTTGAACTTGACCCGAGATGATGAATCCAACAACTTGACCCGTGGTGATGAGTGGTAACACAAGGAAAACCAGTCGTACCTTAGCCATGGACCATAAGTCTTGGTCCTGAACTTGCGAGTTAAAGGTCTCTCCTTTGGTGGGTTTGATCAATTTTGCCGCAGGCTTCACAGAATTCCCCTAAATTCAAATATTTGAACTGAACAAAGTGAGGCTTGCGTTGATCTGATCTTCCAAAGAAATAGCCAGCTTTCAGTGGTTTTCTTAGGTTTACTTCGACTTTATACCCAAACCTCTTTTTCTGACGGATCAATGTACTTTACCAATCAGTGGCTTATCACTTAACTTCTTTGCTATCTTCTCAGACTCTTGTCTTGTGTAGTGAGATAAAGGCAAACCCTCTACCTTGACCCAGAAGCAAGTGACCGAGAAATCAATGTCGCCTAACCAGGTGTCTGACGGATATTCCTTGAGTACCAAGTTTTCTTGTCTTGGAAGAAACCACTTGTTTCAAGATTTGGTATTACTTAAACCAGAAACATGAACTACGTATAAGTTTTGTTCTCATGTAATATTGTTCAACAAACCCCAAAATAGGGGATTTCTATACCGAATTACTTCAACCGAATCCAACTTTTGTAAAACCTAACCGAAAAAGATTAAAAGCCAATACTATTACTAACTAAATATATAAACAAATGCATTTAAATGTACTAAATATCAAAATCATACCGAAACTGAATACAAATATCAAAATCATACCAAAACTGAACCCAAATATAGGACTAAAATGTCCAAATTCAAAAAATCTGAAACATCTACCGAATTACCGAACTAAATCAGAAGGCTTTATACCTATAATCCAATATTATAAAACGAAAAAGGGACAGACAAAACAAACTAAATTAAACAACAACAACAAAAAATAGAATAATTATTATTAAAAAAAAAGGTTTCGAAAGTTGGATGCTTGAAGGTTCCAAATACGTCGTTACGAGGAAACGAAGGTCTGACAGAGAATTCAATTTTCTCCCTCTTCCCACCATTTTTGTCATCTCTCTTTCCTTTTCTTCATCTTCTTCTTCTTCTATTTATTCCAAATTTTCATTACAAGATTCAATAAACTCACGTAATTAGAGATCTTTAGAGTTAACTAATTATTTTTTTTTTAAAACAGAGCAGGAACCGAAGAAAAGGACTATTTTACCCTTTTCTTCTTCTTCCTCTGTCTTCCTTTCCCACCACCACGATTTTTTTGTTCTTCTTTTTTTTGGCCTCGAAGATTTCTTCTTCCTCCGGGGCATTTTCGCCCTTTTAGATTTTTAACAATGGGCACTGAAATTATCCGCCCTCAAAATTGTTTTGTTGACCGGATGAGAGAATCTCCGGCAGCAATTATTCACCCCCGGAGGAATCATTTTCACCGGAGGCCGCCTCTCCGACCTGATTATAGGCGGCGATTCGGCTCCGACGAGTTTATAACGACGGCGAAGGACGTCGTTCGTAGAAGAGGAGAGTCTTTCGATTCGATTTCGAACATCAAGGCTCGGAGATATTCTGGGAATAATCCAACGGACGTATATGCCGGCGATATTTACGCCGGATCTTCGATTTTCGTTGTTTCTCCGGCACCGAGCTCGCTGCCTTTGCCGTCGTTCTCAAGGAGAAATGCGAAAAGCCAGGTCGTTGTAGTTTCCGTGGATGATTCGGCGTCTCAGGATCTCCGGCGACTTCTCCGGCTTGAATTTTAATAAACGGAAAAACTTGACGGAATCGTCAGCTATTTAACGGTTCATATTTAAATCTCGGGATCGTTTCCGTTACTGTTATTTTCTCTGTCCTTTCCCTTTAGAAAGGCATGGATTTGAAAGATCGTATAAAAAGTACGGGTCAGATTTAGAAGCAAATGTTAAATATCAGCTGACTATTGTAATGTGGAAGATTTTAAAAATAAAATTATCTGGGATCCAAATGTCAATTAACCTATGTTGCATGAAAACAGAAACGGATATGTAGAAGCGGAACGTTTCGAAACGCGGAAACGCTATTTTAAAAAAATATAGAAATGGAAATGTTTTGGAAACATATATATATATATATATATTAAGTATGAAAGATCTAATTATAAGTAGAATATTTAAATCAACAAAATCTAATATATAATTTTTACATAATTAATAAACTATAAAAATTAAAATATGTAAAGTCAAAAATTTAGAAGATTTTTTTTATTATCAATTTTATTAGTTTCATTGACCAATCTATCTCTAATTCTAATTCATCGAGATAATAATTTTCAAACTTAATAATTTCAAAATTAATCTTAATTACTAAATCAAAATATTTATTATTTACTATAAATAAGTAAACTGATTATCTAATTTAATTTTTATAATTATTTATTTGTTCTATAAAAAATAAGAAATTAATTTTTATCTTCTTTTCAAAATGGAAACGTGTGTTTCTAAAATGAAAACGCGTTTCCAAAGTGTTTCCAAATTAGAATTTTTAGGAAACATGATTTTTCGTGTTTCCGACGAGTTTCCGAGAATTTCGGTTTCCAAAATGTTTCGAAAGCGGGAAACGTACCTCGAACGGAGTTTCCATGCAACCTAGCAATTAACTACAAA